ACTTCTAGTCAAGTGTGCTGTGATCCCGAGGCACAGGTTTACCCTGAGCCTCATAAGCCCATGCGATGCACGCTCTCAGCCAATGTCCTATGGTAGAAGGTGAGACTCTAGAATCCAATGCAGAAGGCTGAAAAGAAATGAATAATGCTTCCGTTTTCTGAAAAGGAGCAATCCGCTAAATCTAAATACAGAGCCCTCCGGACATTCAATTTATGCCAAGATTTCTCCCTCCCATAAGAAGGATTGGGGCAAAAATCAGGGTGAACAATCTCCTGAGCCCTATGAAAGTATGAGTTAATCTTATGAATGAAGGTGGTGTTAATTTCAGCACCAGAGTGTTGGGATGAAACACACAGAGGTCTTCCCTCACTGAGACAGCTCCTAGCTCTGATATGCACTTTGCAGATGTGATGACGACTAAAAAGACAAGTTTGAGAGTGAGAAACTGCAAGGAGACAATTCTCAATGGCTCAAAAGGTTCTTTAAGAAGAGACAAGAGGACTGTGGTCAGATCCCATGATGGGAATCTGTGAACCACTGTGGCTTAAGATTAGCCTTCCCCTGAATGAACCATTTGATAATGGATGTCGGACCAGGCTCTCCCTACTCTCCAGCACCAAGATGGTGGACAATGCCACCACCTGCCTGCGAAGCGTGTTATCAGACATGCCCTTGTCCAGGCCATCTTGGAGAAATTCCAGGATGTGGGGGAGAGATGGCCCTTTAGGGTTCCCATTTGCCGTGTGACACCACTTGTAGAAAGCCAGCCACGTGGCATTGTATATCCTAGCCTTGGAGGGGCATCTAGATGCCACAATGGTCCTCATCACCCTTGAGAAGAAGTTAGCTTTCCGCAGAAGTTCCCTCTCAAACACTAGGCAGTCAACTGGAGCCACTGAGGCTCCGGAAGGACCAGAAACCCCTGGCATAGAGAGATCCTCTCCCATGGAATCCTCAATGGTTTGGCAATGAACAGACCTACTAGGTCTGCAAACCAAGGTCTGCAAAGCCAGTAAGGGGTGACCAGGATGACCTCTGCCCTCTCTGACACTATCTTCCCCAATATCCCTGGAACTAGAAGAAGGGGAAGGAATGCATAAAGCAATCTGTGGGGCCACTGGCTGCGTAGGGCACTGCCTTGGGAATATGCTGAGCTGAGGAGGCATTCTTCTTCTTATGGCCTGCCTGTGCCTTCTTCAAAGAAGATGATGAGGCAGCCTTAGAGGGTCCCTCCAATCTAGCAGAGGAATCCACCATCGCGCTCCACACCCTCGTAGGAACTCATGATACTGCCACATGATTCCTCCTGGTGAAGGGAAAATGGCCTGGCAACTGCTCCACTGGTCTCTTGCGACCAGTCAAGGCAAGCAACAGCCCCAAATGAACTGTGCCGTTTCAATGATGACAAAATGGCCACTGGTACTAGTGTCCTGATAACAAAATGGCCACTGCCCCTATCACTTCATGGCTCCAACAAAATGGCGGTCACCTAGGCTGCAGCATGACCGACAAAATGGTGGCCATGTCACTTCATGTCCGTCTGAGGCAGCTGGCCGGCTCCGAGAATGCCCGGCCAAGCCAATCATCACCGCTGCACCTAAACAAGTTGGCACCCAGAGTGCCTGGCTCCTCTGATCGCAGCCACTGTCTCCCAAAGCCATGGTTGATCTTCAGATGTGTGCATGCTCTTCTCAGTGCTGCCGGTGATTCAATCCGGCTGCTGATCCCCAGTGGCAACTCACAGTGGGATCACACAAGTCGGGCCATCCAAAAATCAGACATGCGGTACCGAAACAAAAGCCCGCTTTTGGAGCCCCGATCTCCGGTGCTGTTAGCGGCCCTCCCGTCTGACTCAGTGGAGCTATACCAAAGTGCAAATTTGAAATTTGTACTAAAGCCAATTGGAAAGTTATAAAACCAATTGTAAATGTTTTGTGGAAGCCAATTAAAGCCAAATAGAACAAAAAAGAGAAAAAATTAAACACACTTAAAACTCATGAGCAAAGGTTTTTATGTCTCTATCAGGCAAAGACTGAGTCAGAATTGGAGCCAAGCAGGAGAGGATTGGAGACGGGGCTTCAACTATGACTCAGTTTCTGGGCAGATAAAGATGTAACAACCCACTTCTGGAACGTTCTGCACCATCAGCTGGAGAACATCAGTCGCCTTGGACTGAGTATTGCCTAATATGCTGATGATACTCAGCCCGTGGTGAGTTAAGTGATGCCATGTCCTCCCTCTCCCAATGCCTAGATGCTGTTAGGGGCTAGATGGGGAGCAATGGGTTGAAAATAAACCCTTGTAAGATCGGGTGACTCTGGGTTTGCGGTTCATTGGCTCAGGGAGAATTGCCACCTTTGGTCTTGGATGGGGTGGCACTACCCCAAATAGACCCTGTGAGTAATCTAGGGGTTTTACTGGACTCACAATCCTGCTCAAAGAGCAGGTGGCAGTTGTAGCCAGGAGGCCCTTTGCGCAGCTGCAGGTTGTGTGCCAGTTATGCCCTTTCCTGGACCAACAGTCCTTACTCACAGTCATTCATGCCTAGTCACTTCCCTTCTTGACTACTGCAACACCCTCTACATGGAGCTGCCCTTGAAGAGCATCCAGAAGCTCCAGTTGGGGCAAAATGCCCCAATGCTCTGTCTTGTACTCAGTACTCTTCAATATCATGATTTAGATGAGGAGATAGAAAGGGAACTCATCAGATTTGCAGATAAAAATCAAGCTGTAAGGAATAGCCAAAACCTCAGAAGATAGACTGAAGATACAGAAAGATCTTAACAGATTTGAACCTGGGCCATATCTAACAAAATGAACTTCAATAGTGAAAAAAGTAAGACTCTATATTTAGACAAGAAAAAACAAATACACAGGTATGGTACCTGACACAATAGTAGCAATTGTGAGGGACCTTGGAATCCTAGTGAACAATTACTTAAATATGAGCCAGCAATGCAATCCTATACTGCATTAACAGAGGGATAGAATCAAGGTCACATGAAGTGTTAATACCATTTTATAATGCTTTGGTAAGACCACACTAGGAATACTGCATCCAGTTTTGATTGCCACAATAGAAAAAAGAGGTTGAGATTTTTGAAAGAGTACAAAGAACAGTAACAAACATGATTAGGGGACTGCAGGCTAAAACATGAAAAACAGTTGCAGAAATTGGGTATGTCTAGCTTGATAAGAAAAAAACTCACTAGAAATAACATTATAACAGTATCTTAATATTTAAGGGGGTTGCAACAAAAAGGAGGGGATCAACCTATTTTTCAAAGCACCTGAAGGCAGACTAAGAAGCAATGGATGGGAACTAATCAAGGAGAGAAGAAACCTAGACCTAATTTCTAAACAATTAAAACAATTAATCAATGGAATGACTTGCCTTCAGAAGTTATAGAAGTTCCAACATTGAAAGTTTTAAAGAAAAGATTAGACAACCATTTGTCTGAAATGTATAGGGCAGTAATAGAGAACCTTTTTGGCACCAAGTGCCCAAACTGGATGTGTGCACATGTGCGCCAGAGTGCCGGAAACCCAAAGACCAGCTGGCCGTTGCACATGTATGCATCAGCCACTTGGTCTTTTGAGTTTCTAGCACACGCATGAAATTTCCCTCACAAATTTCCTCAACTGTTCATTTCTAACAGGGACCAGTTAATACCATTCAATTGAAGCATAATTCCTATTGTGGCACCAGAAGCATCCAAAACAAATCTCAAAGAAATAATTAATATGTAAAAAGTGGTCCAATGCCGCTATATTGATCCAAAGGATTTTTGGACAAAGATTATAATCAATTCTTTTTGGTATTTATCCATATTCACTGGTCAAAAATGGCCTTTTAGTGGCATACTGCTGCTCTCTGTTTTGTTTAATTTCTTTGAATACTTAATTTTCAGGACTTTTACATCCCATTTCATAATGGTTTCACCAAAACTATAACTGTGAACTGCTTAGGAAAAAGGAATATAAACTTCTAAAGCAAAAGAAAGTATTATATCAAACAATTCTTTGGCTTTCCTGACTGCCATAGATTGTAAAGACATAACATTATACTGGGAACTGATAAATACTTCAATTATCCACCTTTTCACATTACTAGACCTCTTAATGCCTGAAGATTGAAATTATTCAATTTTCTACCTTCTTGATATTGTAAACTTCAATCACAACTACAATATATTAGTGTATTTTGGTTGTTGTAGTTTGAAAATGTATTAGAAAGAGTATCAAATCAAAGTACTGCTCCTTGCCAAAATCAAATTTAAAACAGCCGACAGATGCTGAAGCATCCACTAGGAGGTCTCTAGCAAAGGGAAACTCATCTCAGTAATTGCTGTCAAACTGCTCCTTCTGTTAGGAATTTTTTTTCTAACATTAAGTTAGAAACTGCTTTCCTATAATGTAAATCTGGTATGCCTTATACAGGATGACAGACAAGATTCTGACTGCATGATATTCTTTGAGATATTTGAAGAATACTATCATTTTCCCCTCATGCCCTCAGTATTTTTTCCTCAAAATTAAACATTGTTAGTGCTTTGAACATCTTTTCACAGACTTGCTTGTAATAAAGTTATAAAATATATTGGAACAATGAAAAAGTTTGTGCATAAAACTGTTACCAAATGTCTTTTTATGTCTGGACTTGATAAACTTTGCACTTTAAGTACAAAAGAGTAAACCTATTTTTAAAGTTTCAGTTATATTCAACTATAGAATCATTTGCTGACACTGGTGGCACTGAAATCAAATAAATAAAATACTATAATTCTTCTCTTATGTTTCTCTGGGATGCAAAAAAAAATGAAGGAACTACAAAGCAAAATGAAAGAAACATATTGGGGTAGGATTTTCATCAAACAAGCTGATCTTCGCTTCTCTTCACTAAAAATGTAAAATAAGAAAGTGCTATAGGAATCAAAATGGTGCTTTCACCACCACAGAATCTTGAGGATGGCTTGAATAGATACACATATGCAGACACATTGAATATCAGTTTAGTTTATTTAAAATTGGTAGTAAATGCTCAAAATCACAAGTACAGTTTAGTAAATTATATATCTAATTCCTCTAATCCCATATTTTGAATATGCAAAAAAGCAGCAAAACAAGTTAATGGAGCAATTGAAAAGACATACTCTTTGAATAATGTTAAAGACATACAAGATGAGAATAACATTACAATTGTTTTTATAAAATATGCGTTTTGTTAGAAACCTCGAGTAATGCAGAACAATCTTTCATTCGCTTGTAAACATTAGAAGAAAAGTAAAAAAATAATCTGTAGCTTACAATTTAGATGACACAAAAGAAATTACATGAATATAGAGCAATGGCATGCATATCTCAATAAATTAAAATAGATGACAATTATATATTGCTTCTGCATATATTTTTCATAAGAGTGAAAATAATGTGCCTTTATTGCAAGGATATATAGACTGTAATCATTAACCTTGTAATCTTATGATAATCAGTTATTGCAGACATATACTAGTTCAAAATAATTAACTCTATTTTTATTGTTTTTCTATTAATTTATTGTTTTTATGCATGGGAAAACTTGTTCATTTTTATTGGAGCAGCGGACTAAAAAATAGCATTAATTTGTTTTTAAGTTAATGACTTTCTAAGATTTCTCATAGCTCCTGAAAGGATACCAAGAATAGAGAAGCTTGTATCTATAATATACAACAGCTTCTTTACAAACCACAACTCTTGGAAATATAGATTAAGAATGCATAGCAAAACAGAAGTAAATCAGACAAAAAAATATTTAAAGAAGAAATTTTAATAATTCATAAATTATAAGGCATTGTATGTAGATAAAATATTTAATATATTTTAAAACTGAATTATGCTCATGGACTCATTAAATATGAGAAATGTATATTACTGCGTCCTGTCAATTCGGCTATCAGGAAACTACCTGAGTGATATTGAGATAATTGCTAATGCTGTATTTGTTATATTTATTGTTTTATTTTCCTTCCCATAAATACCAATAAATATGCCATCTTTGCACTGCTGTATTTGTTAAACTTTTCAAGAGATACATCAGAAATATGGGAGGTGGAGGCTATAAATGGTCTAGTAATTAAAGCACTAATTGATCTAATGTTTAAGGCACCAGGCTAGAAATTAGAAGATTGTGAGTTATAGTCCTGCTTTAGTCATAAAAGCTAGCTGGGTTCTCTTGAGACAGTCACTGACTCTCGGCCCCTCTATCTCACGGGATTGTTGTTGGAAGTTCACCACCTTGAGTTATTTGTTGAATTTATTTATTAAATTTGAATTCCACTCATCTTGCTGTCCAAAGCAACTCTGGACAGCTTAGAAAAATATGTATACAAAACAATTCTAAATATAAAACAAATTAAAAATACAAAAGATTAAACACAAACTAAAAGACTGGCTCAGATGATAATAGGCAGGTGGTGCATCCGCTTTTACCCTATAGATTCTCCATCAGGGCTTCATGGCATTCAGCAGTCTGGTTTCCAGGAGAGTGGGGGCAGATCCTTCAGTGGCAAGTTGCTCCAAGGGCAGGGGCCATGGCAAAAAATGCTCTTTTCCTAGACTCAACCAGCAAAATTCTATGGCTAATATGGACTGCAGTATGCCATTTCTGCCAGAGCAAATGGGGCAGGGCAGTCCCATTGGAGCAAGGCAGTTCCTCAGATATCCCGAGGGCTTTAAAGATAACCAACAGCATGAACTGGACCCAGAAGCAGATTGGCAACCAATGCATTTTTAATAAGTGATTTTATATGTGCTACCCTAGGGTCTCTCCATGCCAATGCATTCTGAGCCAATTGTAGCTTATAAATACTCTTCAAAAATAGCCCCATATCAAGTATGATGCAATAAGCCAAACAAGAGATGACAAGGCAGGAGTGACTGAGGGCACAGCCTCACAATACAGAAAAGATCACAAGCTGCAAAAATGCTCTCCTAGTCATGACTGCCACCTGCACTTTGAGCAGTAGTTGGAGTCTAAGAGAGCCTCTAAGTTGTGCATTGGGTCTGTCTGGAGTAGTGCAACCCCAACTAGAAGTAAAGATAACTTCCCACAGGCACTTCCCTTATTGGAGTTCAACTGAAGCCTGTTGTCCCCTATCCAGCACCCAGTCTCTAGCACCATGAAGGACAGTCACAGATTTATAAAAATAATAAAGATGAAATATAAATAATTACCATCATCTGTTGAAACCATACAGATAGTCTTGCCAACTGCATTGTGCAGTGACAGCTTGAAATTAAGACAATCTCAACTTTGTGTCCAATTCTTGTATTTATGATCACCGTGGTGTCCTGTCATCATGTGAGTGTCAAAAAGAATATTATAAATATAATTTAAAGCAACACATTTATTTTGCCAAGAGCTAGATATGTTTAACTGTGTCTGGAGACAAACCAAATTGTTCCATGATACTGGCAGTTCTTTCTTTAAGCCAAGAAAGGGTTGCTCTTTTAGAACCTATGTGACCTTCTGTCCTGCCACAATATTCATTTTGAAATGAATCTGTTCCATTATTTCTGCAACTATTTTTAGTGAGCTCAGCACAGGTTCTATTATGTTGTTCAACAGCGCAGCATTCGCGATCAAGATCCATGTCATTAAGAGTATGTAGCAAATCTCCAACACTGGGTTGTGGATTTACACGATTTAAATGATTAAGTACATGTTCTTCGTATACTCTTAATTGATTCAGCAGATCAGTCATCTTATTCAGCATTGCAGGACTGTGTTTATTGTGATGATACCAAGACAGAAGAGCACTACAATATGTGAAACAACAAAACAATATTTACTTTTAAAATGCCAAAATAAACTGTGACTCTAGAAATCACCATTGTATCAATAAAAAATTCAGAATGGATTCTTTCCAGAAAATGAGAGATTTGAACAAAAGCCCTAGTGTTTATTATGGCATAGAAATCCTTAAGTGTCATTCAGTGGTTCCAATTTATCACATTTTCCACCTCTTACCTTGCAAACTACAGAGTTGGCAAATATTAGTTCTATGTTATTCAGGCTATGAAAAAGATAACAATTATACATTTAATTAAACCCACTGATCTCTGGGGGAGGGTATCTTTATTTTTACAACATACCTTATGGTTCCTTTGAGCTGGCTACATGCAAATATCACCCTTATTGCTTCTTTGTAACCCTGATTGAAGCCTTGTTGAAGTGTTACCACTTTCCCAGCTTCAACACCGTCCCTATAGCCCTCCTTTAAGCAAAAGAAATAGAGTACAATTTGTTAGCATTTGTCTGTATTATTTAAATATAGCATCAACTAAAATAAGTAAAACAAAAAAGCTAAAAAAGTATCCTTCCAAATGATTATCAAAAAGAAAACAAATGAAATTTAATTTCAGAGCCTGATTTTATTTTAACAAGGGCTCACCCATGTGGTATCATATAAGTATTTTTGCTAATTAAAAGATCAGTTTTGTTCTATAGGGTCATTTCTAAAATTCAATTCTGAGGTAAATTCTATCCAACCGGCATCTAATTTTTAAGAATCCCTCTTAACAGAGAATAAGATTGACTTTTCCGATTCCTATCAAGAATTATGCCAGCATTCCATTTATATTCAAGTTAATACAAAAGAGACAGAGAAGTAATTGCATCAATCAATATTATAGAGGTACCCTGGTTAGTTTTACCTTGATTCGTTTCTCCATTTCACTCTTCCATTCTTTCTGGGCTATGTCCATCTCATCTGCATTTTCATCAAATACATCTTCACCGCACTGGCTAACTGCAGGCTGTAACCATGACATTTTGCTTGTGCTGCTGATCCAAAAGAGGCTAAGAATCAAAACAGCTGAAATCGAGCATAGTAGGAAAGTCGGGCGAACAGACTAAACCTGAAAAGAAGAATGATTTGAGAAGCATTGGAGACATTAAACTGTGCGACAAAATAAGTCGAATCAGAAAGAAAACCGCATTAAGTTCCCTCCTAACAACTAGCGAACGAGGAAGGCAAAATAAATCGGAGTGTCTGTTCTACAAAAAGAAAAAAAATACGACCTTCTCCCTAAATGATATATAACGCATTTTCTCCTCCTCCCCTTTAATCGCCGACAGACCCGAAGCCAAACTCACAGCTACCCCTTAATCAATCTTCCACTCTTCTTCTCGCCCTCTCGCCAGGCAACAACCCTAAGTCCCTATTCCTTCCGGGGTCGCAGAAGAAGCAGCCAGAGGCGCGCGCGAGACATCTGTAGCAGAAATGGAAGTTTGCGCCTGCGCATTGACGACATCACCTTGAGTTCGAAGGTCGGGAATACGGTGCTGTCGGATTGATAGGTGTGAGCAGGAGAAGAGAAAATTACCGACACCCGAAATAGCTGCAGATAAAACTCTGAAGTTGTCAGTGTCAGGCTAGCAAATGTTCAGCTGTTAAATGTTGAAGAGGAGGCCGCAATTGCCATCAATATGCGATGGCACTCGAAAAGACTCCGTGGGATCCAGTTCGGTCCCAGCTGGGTTCCCAACTGATTATATCTACGTACCTTTCTGGGAAACAGCAGATAAATCATTTTATGTTTGCCTTCCTCTAGGATTTTCAAAAGTTAAAGTAGACAATAGTTGTGCCAACCTTGACCAACTACCATGTAAAGATTTTTGCAGAATGAATGTGGTATCATTCTCAATTGACAAATAGTTAAGTGTGTTAACTAGAAGTGTAGACGTGGGAATGAACCGAAATTAATGAGATTTGTTGTTTTTATATTTTCAGCCTCATTGTTTATGTCTCTCTTCTATATACTCCACTTGTGTGTGGTAAATGCAGCTTATTTATTATCTTCTCATCCAGAAAAACATGCTTCAATTAAATTGTTATTCTCTAAAAAGGTGTTGCTTGCAGTGTGCATTTTCTGAAATTGCCCAGAAAGGTATGGAGAAAGAAGTTACTTAAATTTTAAAAAGTTATCCTTTCTTTCTTTCTCATCCTCATCTAGACAAGTTGTATAGATGAGAATGAGAAAGAATGAATGTTTGGATAGAAATGGTGTTGCTTAATAGAAAGTCAGTCACAAATCTCAATCACTGACTGCCAGTCATTTTTTTTAAAAACCAAGTATTGCTGTAGGAAAGAGGAAAGAATGCTGTTTTTTCTTTCTTGAATTCCTGAATGAAAAGTGACATATAAATATGAACTGGACCAGGAGCCGTATATGGCTCTTTCATCCCTCTGCTGTGGAGAGAAGTGGGTGGGGTGGATTCTCCAGTGCGTCTCTTGGGTCTCGTGGGTGATGGAAAAGGGGACGGGCCTGTAGCACCCAGCCGCAGCGTTAAACCTCGCATGGGGGACTTTAGCCACCCAAAAGACACTTTTCAATCAATGCTGCTGGCAGGACCATTCTGCTGTAGAAGTAAAGAAGCTCAGGGCAGCGGGAAAATGGGGCTGGCCCCACCGAACCTCGCATGCCCAGTCCAGGGGTCAGGCTTGCAGAAAGCTGGGGTGTCCTCACCAAAGATGCTTGCCCATCAGCCGGTCAACCCTCCACCCCATATGCCTTCACTGCACTTTGGCTGAGCACAGCCGCTCGCTTGAGGAGGGTCTCCCTGCTTGTATGCACCCTCCAGGCCCCATTACAGCTGGCCAGGGGGTTGCATGAGAAGGACGAGGGTCATCTTTGGGGAAGTATCCTCCTCAGCCAGCTCTTGCGCAGCACAGTAAATTTTCACAATGGGGGAGACTGGGTTTCCTCCTCATTCTGTAGCCCATTACAAGGAAGAACTACAATGTGACCTGTCCGAGTGGCTCCTGGCAACAGCAGCTTTATTGGGGACAGAGAACAGGTTGTACATCTTCCTGGCACCAACAAAGAACAGAAGTAGCCGCCCACCATTATCTGCTGCAGTCTGTTGAGCAGCGAGTGAAGTGCCGGAGATTCAGAATCAGAGAGACAGAGAGAGAGTGTGAAAGAGACAGACAATGGCATAGAGAGAGAGAGAGAGAGAGAGAGAGAGAGACAGTGACAGTGACAGAGACAAAAAGAAACAGGAAAAGAGACACAGAGAGAAAGACAGTGACGGAGACAGAAAGAGGGGGGAAAAAGACTCAGAAAGAAAGACACAGTGAGAAAGAAACAGAGAGAGGGAGGGAGAAAGAGAGAGAGAGAGGAACACACCCAAAGCCAGGTGTGGCAAAAGGTGGAAGGGGAGGGGTGAGGCGGGACAGGGCAGAGCAAAAAATTTAACAACTGGTTCTCTGTCCTAATGACCAGCTGAGTAAGCATGGCTGGGGTGTGTGTCATATAACTGGATGAGAGTGAGTGACATTGAATTGGCCATGCCCACCCAGTCACACGGGTTGTTAAATTATTGGCTATTCCTTTGCTGATGTTTTCTGTGGGAAAGGGGTTCAAATGGCTCTTTGAGTGTTTAAGGTTGCAGACTCCTGAACTAGACCTACAAATACTTGAGCAAAATAAATTTGGTGATCCAAAATGTCTCAAAGAATGTTGGGTATAGACAATGTCTTTAGTCAATGCATGAAGGTGGAGTGAGCTATAGCTTCATGCATTGCTCACTTGTGGCACTATAGCTCACTTGTGGCAAATTGGATGTGGAGGCAGGCTGCTAAATGCCCTAATTTTGATATTCTTTGGAGCGGCTATAATTATAAGTCCCTTTGTTCAGCACTAACGGTTGTTAAGCAAGGACTATCTTTAGTAGAATTTCTCCATGCAAAGAGGAGCCAATGACAAGTCCTCATGGGTTATGTGCAAAGAACTACTCACAAGTGCTGAATTTTCCTTTTTGGAAAAAGAAGTGAAAATATGTTGATATGAACAAATATGGAAATGTGGCTTTCTTAAATATTTTGATTCCAGTTTCTTTTTATGATAGCACTTTTACTCCATTTCCAAAATCTAGTAATTCTCTGTAACCCAGTTAATATGGGATATCATAAAATGATAATGTTGATACTGGAGCAGGGGAAACAGTTTTATTTCTTTGGTGAAACGGATATTAAAATTAATCAGAAAATATTACTTTACATTCCTCTGCTAAATATACTAAATATTAAAACATATACTTAAAAAGTATGATTTCTCATAAACCATTTGCAGTTTATTAATTTGCAGCAATTTAAATTGAATTGTTTTCATGATTCAATTTCTTACAAATCTGTCACAGTCTTCCCTGAAGACTTCAGAGCGCAAAAAACCCCAGCTCTATGGGCAAACCAGAAGTTCGGGAACAGACTTCCGGTTTGCTTGTAGGGCCCGTTTAAGCTCTCCACAGGCTTCAGGGACCTTCAGGAAGCTTCCCTGAAGCCTCCGGAGGACTAAAAACAGCTCTACGAGCAAATTGAAAGTCACTTGGAAGCCTCTGGAGCCTGGGGAGGGTGAAAAAAGCATGCAAAAAATGGGGGAGAGCCTCTTATGCGTGCATGCGCACTGGGGGATTGCACGTTGCATTATAGGTGCAGCACGGCCACACTCAACCTCCCTGCGCTCTCCCCCTTATAGCACACCAGCCAAAAAAGGTTCACCATCACTGGTATAGAGCAGTGGTGGGTTTCAAAAAATTTTGGAACCTCTTCTGTACATGTGGCCTGCTTTGTGGGAGTGGCTTGTGAACCATGTGACTGGGTGGGAGTGGCTTNGAGGGCTTGCCCGGTGAAGAAGACACCTGGAGCGTTGGTGCCAGCAGGCAGGCAGGCGGGACGCAGAGGGACGGAAGTGCCGCTGCAGGTAGCTCGAGGTGGCGTGCCTTGTCACAAGCAGCTCTCCAGCCACCTGGAAGGAAACAGCGAGTTGAAGGGTGGGCTGTTGCACCCTCACCGCACGTCACTGACATATTTCTTGAAAGAGAAAATGCATCTTGAAAAGTGCTCATTCAAAGAAAAAACAAGGAATGGAATACATCACACAAAAGTATTCATAACTTACTTATTACATGAATGCATGTTACAACCAAACCTGTATCAAAATATAGTAGCATTTCTGGTTTCCACATAATATTGCACCTGAAATTAGTGAATTAATATTTATCAATGCTCCATACAAGTAATGTTTGCTAAGTTTCTCACACAAGCCAATGATCCATCATGTAGAATAAATATTTATAAAATGACAATAGAAGGGTTTTGTATTTGGAGTTTTACTTCTATATGCTGCCTGGAGTCACTGTGAGTGAGTTGGGCAACCATTTCTTAGTAAACAAACAAACAAACAAACAAACAAGCAAACCCTGTGCAAATTTTTATTTTAAAATAAGTAATGCTAATTGACTCCCCTAAGTTGTTTCATTAATAGATCTATTAGTCTTAATGTCATTAATTGGAACTTAAAAAAGCAAGACAGGAAGAAAATCAAGGTGCTTGAGCTGTGATGCTGGAGAAGGCTCCTGCATATTCCTTGGACAGCAAAGGTGATGAACAAGCAAATACCAGAGCTTACCAGACATATCACTAGAAGGCAAAATCACAAAACTTCATCTCATTTAGTTTGGTGATGTCATGCAGCAGAATTCACTGTAAAAAGCAATTATGTTTGGAAGAGTTCGCAGTGAAAGGAAACCAGGCAGTCAAAGAACACAGTGGTTGTATGCTATCAAAACTGATGCCAGCCACAGCATAGAACAACTCAAAGAAATAGTGCAAGATCAGAAGATATGGAGAGACATGGCTCATAGAATTGCCAAGAGTTGGACTTGACTGAATAGATATCATCATCATCATCATCATCATCATCATCATCATCATCATCATCATCATCATCAT